CAATGCTTAAATTGGCTCTCCATTAAACTCTTCTTTCTAGGTTTGAATATCTGTTATATGTTTTATTAGGTTTTTCAAAGGCCAGTATCTTAGCACTCGGATTAAAAAAGTTTTTTAGTGATAAGACAAAAATGACAAAGCTGATAATGTTTACAATTGACATTATATAAATCCCATCTAAATTAGATATCCCCTCATTTAATCGTTTCATTTTCAAACTGTCTAGCATATTATCATATAGAGACCCAGTCCCTTCATTGTAATAGTTTTTCCATTTTTTAATGTGGGGGGGGGAAATCTTTTAAGTACTTTCTCCCTTTAAGTATTCCTAATTGTCTTACCAAATGTACTGACAATGTTGATGAAGACGTGAGGCTTATTGCTACTGCGGAGAACAGTAAAAGCCTGACTAGATTTCAAGGCAGCTACGTAGTTTGGAAGAAACCTGAGAAGGGAGTCCAGGGAGAGACAGACAGACAGACAGACAGACAGACACAGATGGAAAGGGAAGGACTCAAGCTGGAAGCTGAAAATCAGCTTGCCTCAGCACAGGAGGAAATGGGCGTGGCTTGTCTCTTAAAAGGACAGGACAGACCAATTACACATGGGCAAAACTTTTTCATACATTAGGCACCAAATGTAGCATGAATAATAAAAACCCAGAGACAAATATTGACGTTCAGCCTGAAAATCAGAAAAACAAAACAGCCAGCCACTGGCTCTTACCTCTACCTCAAACTGAAATGGTGATCCTGCCTGCATGAATCCTCAGAATGAGACTGAACTGAGACCTGTCTCCTTCCGTCTTATATTCTTCTAATGCTAAGATTAAAGGTGTGTGCCACCACTAAATGGTCTGTATGGATGACCAGTGTGGCTTTTTGCTCTCTAATCTTCAGGCAAGCTTTATTTATTAAAACACATTAATATACCGCTATAAAATCTTCTTACTGTTATTGCAAATTTGTAATTATCAGCAGCAGACAAATCAAGCATTAACAAGAAAAGTTTCTTGTGTAGACTCTACAAGGGAAAATATCCAGCATACTTATTTTTTTTTTTCATTCTAGAAATGTATTTCCAGCTCACAGAGATGGAAACTGTTGTGCTGGGGGATAAGATAGTGATGGTAGGAGAAGGGTCAGCCAACAGACTACTGCTTTTGGTTTTGATAGAGGTGCTTATCACATTAGTCTTGAACTCTCAATCCTGCCTCCGCTTTCTGTATTCTGGGTTAGAGGCATGTGAGTCACTGTGCCCAATGGGCTACTGCTTTCCAGTATTTCCACTAATGCTGATTTTTAATTGTGTATTTAAAGATAAGATAGAGAGGTTGTATAGTGGCAGATGCCTAGAATGGAGTAGGAGTACCGTTATGAGGTCATGGATGGAGAATGCAGTCATGTGTTTGGACATATTTAGCTGTTCAGATGCAGGCATAGAATAGGTAGAGGATTGCATTTGTCAAATACCAGATAAATTGTCCTCTTTGAACACTTCTGTTGGAGCTCGGTGTGGTGTGAATAGTTTTTAGAGTTAACTTTTTAATTGAACTCATTTTGGAAGGCTAAATATAGTGAATAGAAGTCATTAAAAAGAAAAGAGGGCTGCAGGATGGTGACGCATGCTTTTAATCTCGCATGTGGGAGGCAAAGGCAGGTGGATCTCTGAGTTCAAGGACAGCCATGGCTACACAGAGAAACCCTGTCTGGGAGGGAAAAAAGAAAGAAAGAAAAATGAAAAGAAGAAAAGAAAAGTTCTGCATGGCATTGTTTCAGACAAGGTTTCCCTCGGGCTATATGTCTGTCATCTAGCATATTTCCACTCTTCTCTGAGCACATTTGGGTAAGATTGTCCAGATCATCATGTACTTTCTGGGCCTCGCTGATTTAATTATCCAGTTCCCCCAGGAGCTCAGACATTCTCCCTCATGCTCTCCGTGTCTTTTTTTTTATATTGTACACACATGCATGTCTACATGTGTACGTAATGGCTGTAGACTGAAGTATCCAGGAAGGAAGAGAAGTCATTTCCTTATTTCTTAGGTTTTACATTGATGTTTTTATTTGTGGAATCTCTCTCTCTTCCGCCCCTCTCTGGTTTCTTGGACGTTCTTAGAGTCTTTTCAATCTGAGTTTTTTTTTTTCATTCTAGAAATATATTATTCTGCAACTGTTTCTTCTCCCTTGTTTGGCTTTTCTGCCTGTATACACTAGTCCATGGGTGCTGATTTCTCTTGCCGCTCTAGCCCATATATCCCTTGACTTATTTTTCATCTCTTCCTAACAACTTTTGGCCTACTACTTTAAAGCTGACATTTGTGGATTATGAATTATTTTGAAAATCTCCATCTTGCTCTTCAACCAATCTATAAAGTTTATTATTTCGGTGATTATATTTGTTTTATAATAACAATTTCTACCTGCTTTGTTTCTAATATTCTCTCCTTAGTGAGCTTTATTCTGTTTACTTTTTCTTTTCTCCTCTGGAATCATCTGTCCTGTGGATGTTAACAACCTCATTGATGAGAATACAAGATGGAGTCAGGAAAGCTACAGCTTGGTTAATGCCTCTTCTGCTGTGCTTAGGAAATGAAGGGGAAGATTGCGGGCATGTGTTGAGAGATTTACTAGGATCAAAGTCTTTTTATATTACGGTTTGAACTCCCTTCTCAAGAACGAAACTATTCATAATTTCTTTCCTCTAGTCCATGAAGTGAGAAGAGCAGTAGGGTAACAGAACATGGGAAAAGGCAACACCAGCAGTATTGACATTGCATGTTAAATAACTTCAGGGCTGGGGAGATGGCTCAGCAGTTAGAACAGGTATTGCTCTTCCAGAAGACCAAGTTCAGTTCCACGTATCTATATTGAAGGCTGAACTACCTGTAACTACAGCTCCAGGGGATCCAACATGTCTGGTACCCACACACATGACACACACTCACATGGACACATAAAAACACATAGACAATTTAAAAATATGCCAGGAGGTGGTGCATGTCTTTAATCTCAGCACCTAGGAGGCAGAGGCAAATGGAGCTCTGTGAATTCAAGGTCACCTTGTTCTACAGAGCTAGTTCTGGACAGCCTGAGCTACACAAAGAAACCCTATCTCGAAAAACAGATGATAGATAGATAGATAGATAGATAGATAGATAGATAGATAGATAGATAGATAGATA